TTTTTTTTTTTTTTTTTTTTTTTTTTTGTTTTGTTTTGTTATTGAATGCTGCAGCAAAAGATACACATATTGAAAAGCGTAATAAGTGAGATCCACAAAAAATCTTGGCAGCGTTCCAAAATCATTCAAGATTTCTGTTTGAGTTTCTTCTTGTTACTGGTATAGCGCATCGCTGGCTGCATTAATGTGAGAATTTTGCGGTACCTTTTGGTGGAAGCAGTTTGTTTTAAAGCTGTTAACAGTAATAAAAGAAACGATTGGGGTTGGAGTTTAATTTTTATATTTATAAAATAAAAGAGCAAGTTTTAAAATTTTTGCTGCAATTTTACGCCTTAATATTTGCAACGATTATTTAGCAGCAAAAATTTTATGAACTAAAATAAAGGGTTATGTTTTCCATTCCTAAGTTATAGTGACGAAACTTGCAGCAGTTTAATTATATCTTAAAAAAGATAAGAAACTTTGTTTGTTATGAATACATATTTATTGGTCTGCCTATTTAACTATCTATTTCTCGTCTATTTTTGTGTAATGTTTACCTGTTTTAAGCGGATATACCTTTTGGGCATTAGCAGTACTTTCCAACGAGCTAAATGTTTCATTTGCTTTTTTCAGTTTTTTCTTTTTTCTTGTTAATTTTTATTTTTATTTCTCTGAATTTTTTCTGTTGAATCGTTTCTTTGCAGTTGTTTCCATCAAAATCTTTACAAATACTATTGATCTAATTCGATTTTTATCCGAAAATTTATGCTTGTTTTAAATAGGCACATAACGACCTTTTATTTTCTGCATTAACATTCTTGACTTTCTATTTCGTTTATTTTTGCAAATTTTTATGCCTGTATTGATACCTGTTTATCTAGCTCTTTCAGCCTGTTTTTTCCCTTGCTTTAGATCCTCTACCTTTCTGAATATATGTATGATTTTAGCTATGTGCTTGCCGTTCCTTTGAATATCAGTTTTTCCTCTACACCTTCTCAACTAGGCTTATCCGGTATTCCGAACTTTTTGGCTTGGTGTTCTGGTTGTTTGCTCGTTAAGGGTTGTATTAATAGCAGCAAGCATTGGTGAGCTCTACGGTATCATTAGGATACTGTTTCACCGAACAACTTTAAAATCGTTTTATATCGACTAGACTGTCTCATAAAGTACTGTCGGGTTAACAAGACGAAAAACGTCTGAAGCTTCTAGTAAGTGCTATATCTCTTTTGCGATTAAATTACTTTATAAACTCTGTTATATGAAGGGTTTCAAACTTGGGTTTCCGGTGTTCATAATAAGTGAATTAGTTGAGCAGGCAGAGTTCCAGATGGGGGTAATAATTTGAGTCAAGGACTTGGTTTTTGAAAGAAATATGAGGATATGGACCGCTTAATATTTATTTCTTTGTTTTTTATCAAATTAAAGCTCTTTGTTGTTTAGTTTTATTGATTATTTCATCTCTTGATTTAAAACGTTAAAAGATTGCATTTTTAGTCTTTCACATATGGCTACGGGAGAAGCTCGTTTAGAAGCTCTGCAACGACTGCGAGAACTTTTACAAAAGGTTATTTTTATAAATTTTTTAGAAAGTTTCATATATCTGGTCCTCATTCAAAAAAAAAAGGAAAAGACTTTAATTTGCTTGTGTGGTTTTGCATGAAAAACAGCTGTGTGGCAGGTTTTTTTTTTTATAAAGACTTGTTTTTGAAATGATTAGCAATGATGGATTTGATCGAAGGAAAACAGCACGAAATCTCAGAGTTGGGGCAAATTCTTTAATTATAATGGTCAAGTACCTCATGCAAAAAAAGCGGTTAAATTAGAGCACTGCCATGAACTCATCATTTACAGTTCATGGCTTTTATTTTTGTTTTATCTTTTATTTTTATTTTTATTTTTATTTTTATCCACTTATTTATTTTTTAGCTAATGAATTTGTTTTACCAATTAACATCTTTACTTTTGAGCATAAATAACATTTGAAACTTGAAGGACTTTTCAAATGACATCTTTATGGTGTTGTACAGTGCCAAATACAGTTCAGTTGTCTTACTGATATTTAAATTTGAACAGACTTTGTACTTTCTCTCTGTACTAATTAAAATAACTAGCCAGTTCTTTGCGTATCAGATTTTCATTCCTCGACTTTTGCATGCGTTGTAGAAACTGCTTTAAGAAATGAGATTTTAATGCAGTTTTGAATAATTGGAATTTTTAAACCTTTTTTGATCCTTTTAAAGTCCTCTTTATTCTCAAGTATTGATTAATTCTCAGTTGCCTTATTTTTGGGCTCTAAAATCTATTTTTGCTTCCATTTTAGAGATCTTCTATAGGCGTAGGATTTAGAAAGATCTATGACAGTGTTGTGGAGATATAGAACCCTGTGTTTTTCAAAAATAGCTTTCAGCTTAGCTGCTTCTAGCAAAAATTTTTTCGATGTTGCATTCTCTTTTCTATGTCTGTAGAAGTGTCTTGTGGATTCTATAAGGATGGCGATTTAGTTTTTCGGAGTGCAGTATTTTGAAAACAGTTTTAGTAGTTATTCATTTTTCCCCTGTCAGATAACGTGAACATTCGTTTAGTTAGATAGTTAGGAAACAGTCGATGTACATACGTGATGTTTTCCTTAATTTCCTTCATCATTTAACATATATTATTCATTTGTTCTTACATGTAACGAGTCCTGGTGACTGCTGGTTATATACAGCCGGTATTTTTCTACTGGAATTATTATTTTACTTATTTTTTGAAAATGTTCTTAGTCTTTAAATTTTCTGATAAACCATATTACTTCTGAAATGAAAGTTTTGTGTGATTTTAGAAACAGGTTTAGCTAATCCTGCGTCTTTTTATAGAGACTTTTGTTCCTTATCATAGTCTTCGACTTTGTAATCAGGTTACTGGCGCCTTGCTAGATTATTCTAGGTTTTTGTTCTTCTAGTAATGTAGCTTTTGTCTTTTGAAAAAACATTTTGTATTAACAATTTGTGATCACTTCGATTAGATTCAACTTCGAGGATTTTAATACTCTTTAAGCAAAGAACTGGCGTAAAAATTTAGATCAGAATTCATACTTTAAAAAATCAAGGGAATTTTACTTTTTTAAGAATGTTTTCTAGAGTAGAGAGTTAATCATTTATGTTTCTTTTAAACCGCAAAGTGTCGCCAATACATCTTTCTCTTTTGCTTTTTATCTTTACTTTTTGTTTATCAGTTGGACTTTTTAAAACTTTTTCAAAGCAGTTTTCTCATATCGTGTTGAATCTATGATAAATTCGATGTTACTTTGCTTTTTACACTATTTAAAATGATCTTTGAATTTATACTCGCGTTCCGCTATACAGCGTTTACTGCTTGTATTTGCACTATAAATAACTTTTAGAATAAATACAGTTTTTTGATAAAAAATTTTTTTTATATCGCATTGGGAGGTTGTATTTATAATAACCTTTGGAAGCCCATTATTAAAGAACTAATTTTAAAAAGCCTCCCTGAAACTGAACAACGAAAAAGAAGACAATTAAACCTCGTGATAGCTTTTTCTTAGTTTTGTATAATTTTTTCTTCTTTGGCGAAACTTTGTTTTTTGCCGCTTTTTTTGCTGTCGTTGTTATTGTTAGAGCACTAATAATTTTTTCTATCTTTACTCTTTTTTCACTTAAACGACATTTCTGATACCTGTTTTGCCGTCTAGGTGATCGTTACAACGTCTGAGAAGGAATGTAGTCTGTTTGTGAAACATGAAAACTTGAATCAAATCAAGCCCGAAACATGGACTATGTTCATTAAATTTCCTAACTAAATTACCAGCTATGAACATCAGGTTAATGATAAATTTTATATCCACGTAACAACTAGTCTTTATGCATGCCAATTCTAAAGCCCTCTCTAACTTGCATGTTACCCGCCGTGTTGAAAACTTCACCGTTGACATTTTTTGCTTCAAACTGATTAGATTTGTGGTTCTGACATCTGTTTTGCTATCTAGATTGATATTGAACATTATAGTTCTCAGGTCTTCCCGCGTAACTACTAGTGGTTAGTAACGATTGTTTTATGAAAATATTCGTGGAGACAGCGGTAATGAACACTGTTGTTGTCTGCAGGTTAAAGAAGACAAAAGAATAGTAAGAAGCGATTTTGACAGAATCTATAGAGAGGATTGGTGGCCATTAAGTTTTTTAAGTCTAAACGATTACGACGTCAACATTACCTATTCTGTATTCCTGGAGTGTTTAAAATGGCGGAAATCGTTTAATATACACAGTAAGCTTTTCCTGATCCTTGTGTAGTTATCTTTATTTTTCTTTTAATAATTCAGTGTATCTTTCAGAGGCTCTGTTCCCACCGATAACTTTTAAATCTACTCATTTATTTCAAAATAGTGTTCAAGTGGTGGTTGTTGAGAAATTACTAAAAATGACGTTAATTTAAGTATTCGCCTTATCATTGATTTAAATCGACTTTTAAAATAATGAGCTGTTGTTTTTGTATTTGTAGTTCATAGTTCTTCAATTCACAGAGAATTGGGTTCCAAGT